TAGTTATCCTCTGGGGTAGGCTCAAGAGAAGATAGCAAAGGTCACTCTTGGGCTCCCAACTTCAAGTCCTGGCTCACTGTGTATGCAACAACTTTAAGAGAGCCTGCTAGCTTCCTACTGAGGAATTTCTACAATGAATTTCTGTGATAATTCGAGCTCCAAAGGATAGAAAATGTTAACTAAAGGGAAATGGGTAGATACATGGATGTTAGGTGGCCCAAGCTTATGCTGATAGCTAAATAGCAGATTCTATCTACCTTCCAGGTCCTTCTAAAAGAGAGGTTTCTAGGTCTGAATATCATTATAATTCCATTCAATTTCAGGACCCGCCCTATGTGTAGGATGTCAAAATCTCAAGTACTTTCTGTTGGCCCCAAAAATGTGGAGATCTGAGTTATTCAAGCTGAAGCTCTCCTGCCCACTACTCAACTGGAAATCTGGTGAACAGAATGGATGTGGGTTGATAAATAGAAATATGTTAGAAAACACTCCTTTTCAATTCTGTCAATAAATTGAATCCTCCCTTAATTCCACTATTCACATTTCCACACACAGCTCTCTAATGCAGTTTCATTAGCCAACATGAAAATCCCTTTCAATACCATTCTCCAACTAATTTTTATGTAAATAATAAAAAGCTGGTCTCAACTCTATTCCCTGAGGCACTTCCCTAATTAACATCCTTTTAGGTTTCTTTTTACTGCTACCCTTTGTTTCCTGCCCTTTAGACAATTTCCAAAGGACTTTGCCAACTTTCCACTTACAACTCATGTCTTATACATTAACCTGTGATGCAGAACATTTTGTGAGAAAGCTTTCAGAAAAATTGGACTTCCATGCGAGACATCCCCCTGGACGCTCGACCTCCTCAGCGGCAAGGGCTTCAAAGGATTCCAGCAGGCTCTGGAGTCCTGACCTTCCCTCTCTGAAGCTGCAGTTGGCCCTCCTCGGTCAGACCACACTCAGCTCCCCAAAGTTCCCTGTTCCATTCCTTAAATAGCTTCTTAATGTTCCGGGAAGCCTCACATCAAGCTAATAGGCTTTGAGGTTCCCCGGGACTCAGATACAGGAAGAGAATCTTTGAGGCCTCGGGAGGGAGAGGTGTGCCGTACAAATGCTTGTCTGAAGGGAGCTGGAGAACATGTCAGGGCCTCCAGTGGCTCCTTCTTGCCTCACCGTCTGCCAAGAAAGGGAGAGAAAGGCCACAGGAATCCTTGAGATTCTTGCAGCTTCTCAGAGCAATTTCATTTGAGCAGCTGAGAGATGAGGCCTGTGTGGCTCCATCTGCCTTCCTGGAACCTTCATTACGTGTTGTTTATTGAGCAGTCACTGTGTGCCAACTACCTTTCTAGACACTGGAGATAGAGCTGTGAACAAAAGTGACACAGTCTCGCATGACTTCTAACCTAGGAGATGAGATAGACAAACACCACTGTCAGGTGATAGGCATCCATTTCCACCCACCAGCACAGTCTTTACCTTTTGCCACCGTCTGGCTTCACTTGTCTGCCTCCTCCGCAAGGTGAGTTATTCTCAAATTTTAATGTGTTTAAGAATCCCTTGGTGCTAATTAAACAAATGAAGCAAGTCATTTTGGAAGATGTGATTTTGGGGGGCCTCTCTAGGAAGGCACTATTTGAACAGAGATCTGAACAAGTGAGCTGATTTCCCATAGGTCCCTTCTTGTGCCTCTCCTTTCTTCTTTCTGGGAACCACCACTCCTCTGGATTAAGAGTGTGTAGATTCCAGGGTCCACCTTTAAAAATTCAGATTGTGTAGCTCTGAGCCCAGGCACAGCTTTTTTAATTAAAAACCAGATAATTCCGAGGCAGGTGGTGGGGGAACCACACCTCAGAAACTGTCCTGGGCAATAAGCTCCTAGGGGCAAGTTCTGAGCTGTCCCATTTGTTTCTGTCTCCACAACAGAGCAGAGAGCCTGGCACTTGGTAACCATTCAATCAGTAACCAAGGGAAGCATTTCCCTGTTGGACATTTCCCATTGTCCTGCTTCCAATGAACACCCTGTGAGTTGGTCATCTTATCGCCCCCCTCCCCCAATTCAACCTCTAGGGGCCAGAGATACTGATCTCCCCCCCCCGCCCCCCCGTGGGCCTAGCAGTATCTTTCATAGTATAAATCAGAATAGATCTTCAGGACATATTTGCTGAGACAAAGAATAAATATGGAAGAGAGGAATGAGGAAAATTTGACATATGAGATCCATTTAGAAGCCCCCTAAGCTCATGGTGACCCAACAGACTTAGCTTGTTAACTCCAGCAGTCATCAAAGTGTAACGCACTGATATTTAACAGAGAGCTGCTAACAAACAACAGACAGTGACAGGGAGGGAGCAGAATGAGTCGTGGTGGCGGGACACAGTGAGCCACTGCTGAATGCTCTTGAGGGTCTTCGGCACTTAGAGATGTCCTTAATGTCATCACCGACCACCTGCTTTACAAAGGAGCTGTGACAAGCAACTTTTAATACAGCACCTCCGCAGTAGTGTCCGGCCGCAGGCTGCTGCTTCAGCGCTTGTCTAAAACATGTTCGCATATTTGCTCTATAACGGATGAAATTTCAATGTCATGTTAAGAGAGCTCATACCGGCTTCTTAAAATGACTTTTAAAAAGAATCCATCAATTCTTCCATTTGCCCAATCCCAGTTGCTTCTCTAGGACGCTCTCACGGCCTTTACATGTTGAGCAGCTCAGCAGATTCTCCAAACCTTTTTTCCCTTTTAAGTCCTCGGCTGAGGGTGAGGAGCTCCCGCAGCGCAGGCCTGGCTTTCTGGAGGAGCAAGAGCTATCCCTTTGTTAGCAGGAGCCCTCACTTCAGGTCTCTGCTTCTCACTGGCTTTGGGACGTGAGACAAGCCATTTATTTCCTTTAGCTATCAAGTTTCTCATCTCTGAAATCATTGTTAAAAAATTGGAAAAAATCATATTGTACACCTGTGTCTGCCTCCCTCACAAAGCTGTTATAAAGATCGAATGAGATAATGTGGAAGGTCATTACAAATTCTCATGCACTACATGTTACTTTTCAAGGCACTGATCTCAGGGTGACACACCTGAAAGTCACCTAGTGGATGGAAGGAGATGAGTCAGAGTGGGCTCTG